TGTTAGCAGTCAACAGCCATCCCATGTGCAGAACATACATACCTTTAGTGCATGACTTTAGCATACTCTTGCCAATGTCAGCTAGGTGTGTCGGGTAAAGGGGCTTATTCTATGGTCTGGTCCATTTGGGAAATGCTTAGAAATGGCACATTGTCAGAGCCTTTCATCTGAAAACATGGAGAGGAAAAACACAGCCTTTCTGGGATGAATTTGAACAATTCAGCAGCCTCTGTTTTGAGCTGTTCATCTCTTTATAGAACTCAGGTGTTCTATAAACCACAGTTTGGAAAGTCATGGCCTAACACACATCTGCCTGGTCCCTGAAGACAGTTCATGTCTTCTCACTCCACACACTGGTTTCTACCAGACATCAAGGGTAGTCCACACTGGAATATGGGTGTATTGCTCGCCCACACATCTCAGACTTTAAGAAGCCCATCTTAGGCACCATGTCTAAGCATTTATAGCAGCATCATTCATAATTACCAATGGTTAGAAACAACCCAAATACTCACCCATGGATAAATAAGTACAATGTGGCAAGTATAGTCACTGGAATACTATTCAGTCTGAGAAAGTAAATTCCCATATGCTGCAACACGAATGAACTTTGAAAATATTATACCAACTGAAAACGCATCAAACACAAAAACAGCAGCTTGTATGATGCTATTTGCTTGAAAAGTCCAAAGTAAGCAAGTTCATTATTACAGGAAGAGAATTCTGGATGTCAGGTGATGAGAGAGAGAAATAGAGAGAGAGAGAGAGAGAGAGAGAGAGAGAGAGAGAGAGAGAGAGGAGCTACTGTCCAATGGATACGGAGTTTTACCATGGCAAGAGGAAGAACTCTGGATATGGATGGTGGTGATAATTACACAATAACACATGTATTAAAACTATTAAAATGTATCTTAAAATGGTTAACACAATAAATTTTACCTTATGTATTTTTACTGCCACAAAAACTTTAGTGACATGAAATCCTGTAATCCCAGCACTAAGGAGGTTGAGGCAGAAATACTAAGAATTTAGGGTCAACCTGGAACAAAAAAAAACCCCAAAAGACAAGATAACTTTTTTCATGCATTCACTTATTTGTGTGTGTGTGTGTGTGTGTGTGTGTGTGTGTGTCCCACTACAGTGTTTGTGTAGAGATCAGAGGACAGCCTTTTGGGAGTGGGTTCCTGCAGTCTTAACATACAAAAATGGTACCTACTGCTGGCTGAGGCTGGGCAGTAGACATGATCAGCTTAGGGAGTCTTCTGCTGAAACCCGAATGACAGCCCATTGAGGGGAAACGGAGACGTAACATTAGATTTCTGCAATGGGTCATTTTCATTGTCGAATTGATTGGATTTAGAATCACCATGGTAAGGCTGTGAGAGTATTTCCAAAAAGGTCTAATTGAAGATGGGAGACCCACACTACACGTGGATAACACCATCCTATGGGCTAGAATCCTGTACTGAAGAAAGGGGAGAAATCCGATTGAGCACCAGCACCCCTCCTCCTTCTCTTCTCCTCTCCCTCCTCCCCCTTCCTCTTCCTCCTCTTCCTTCTCCTCTTCCTCCTTCACTGTGGACATGATGTGACTGACACCATGATGGATTATATTCTCTAGAAGCAAAAACTCAAATAAACCCTTCCCTCTTTGTCTGTCAGTCATTTTTGTCATATCTATGAGAAAAGTAACTAATGCAGTCTCAAGGCATCCAGCCACCCTGATGATGCAGCAGTCACACCAGAGTGATGGGGTGGCTCTCAGGAGTCTCCCCCTTCCATCACCATGTTATGATCCAAATGAACTGTCCTCCACAGATTTGTGTGGTTGAGGCTTGGTACCCAGACAGTAGTGCTGCTTGACATGGTTCTGGAAACTTTAAGAGGTAGCACTGGAGGAAGTATGTCACTGGGGACATGGCTCTGAAGGTCATCCTGGGTCCTTATTTCCTTCCTCATTCTCTGCTTCCTGTCTGGCCTGAGGTGATGAACTTCTCTGTCACTTGCTTTGATCACCATGATGTTCTGCTCAAGCACATGGAGCTGACCAAGTGTGGTCTGAACCCTCTGAAACTGTGAGACCAGATGAGCCCTCTGTCCTAAAGCTCTTTTCTCAGGCATTTTGGTCACAGTCACACAAAAAAGTAACTCCAGCTCCCCAAAGGGAGTAAACAAGGACCTATTGACTACTACTAGTCCAGACCTTCCTAAATTTACCTCATCAGATACCCGGGATTTCCATCCTATTGTCTCAATGATTTCCTCTTTCTTAATATAGCAAAACATGTCCGCACTAGAAAAGAGCAGTTGTCCAGGCCTTGGTCATCAATGACGATGAATAAGATAGCCTCTGCTTTCCCTCTCCACTCACACAAAAGCACTGCCTGCCCTTGATCTCACGGATGAGATAATTACAGGCAGAGTAATGGCCTCCACAGCTGGTAATCTATGACCAACCCTGCTTCCAACGTAAGAGTTTGTCACCATCAATTAGGTAGGTACATGTTAATTTGCCACAGAAGGACTCCCCGCAGGCCCAAGGACTTGGTAAACCTATCAGTGGTTCATAATGTGGCCAGTCAGGTCTCAGAGTCCTCCCCTCTCTCCATACCAGAGGTATTCACAATCTCAACACCACAAAGCACCTGAGCTGGGGTTCATTTTTTTCCCCTAGAACCATGGGCTCCTTGACTTTTCTTTTCCTTTGCAGCCAAGTATGTTTAGCTGAAACTGTTCCTTCTCATAGTCTGTTGCTACCGTTCGGCCGGCCACTGCCTTTCCAGGGAGCCTCTCTACCCACTCCAGGCTTTTTATCTTGGGAACTAAATCTGACCTGCTTATGTAAGTGATGTTTTACTAGAACACAGTGTGGCTCTGTTGTCTCCTTAAACGCTTGTTCTTCAAGAGCAAAGCTGGATCCCTGCGAGAAAGACAGGGCAGCCTACAAAGGAAAAAGTACTTCTCTGGACCCAGGTGTCGGGCTTCACACCCACAATCCCAGAGGGGTGAGGATGGTTTCTAGCTCCAGGCTGGCCTGAGAAAAAACAAAAAGTATCTCCTTGTTCTAACTTCATTTAGCCACATTTTTTAAAGTTCCATTTTCTAAGCTCTTGGGAGCCCAGGGCAAAAAGATCATGACCTTGAGCCCAGCTTGGACTGTATAGGGAGACCATGTCTCAAAAACCCAATTCAACCCAAACAGCAGCAACCAAAAGAGTCTGCTTGCCTCATTTTCCCCTCATCTCCAGGGCTGGGATGTAAGTATGCACCATCATACCCAATTTACAGGATGCTGAGGATCAAGCCTGCTTCATGCATGCTGGGTAAGCATTTAGTCCCCTCCCCCCGCCTTTATTTCTATACAAGATTGATGTTAATGAGATCCAATTGGTTGTCCCTTTAAAACAAATATGCAAACAGTATGGATTTGTGGTCATTTCTCTAACAAAGGATTACTTGACTAAATTTAAATCCTTGCCCTGCTGATTTGTATCTGTGTTTTTTTCATTTCACTATCAAATCCTAGAGCAAACTTTCTGATTCAGTCTCAACACACCTTCCTGGAGCCTGGTGATCATCACTATAATCTTAGGTGAGGGCACGATTTCTCCCCTGGAGGGCATATGGCTATGTCTGGGGACTCTTTAGTCACATTACGGTACAAGAGTGCTATGGGTATCTTATGGCAGAGGTCAGGAGAAATGCTCAAGATAATCCTTATGGGAAGGAAAGTCTGGGCTCAGATGGCAAGTGGTGACAGGGTGGGGTGGGGAAGTCCTGCTCCCTGCCTTAGTTTGCAGCAGCTACAGCCCACCAGGCTTTCTGAGGGTCTTTCGAAGGCCTGTGCAGCAGGTCTTTCAGCATGAGCTAAGTACCTTTGCAAAGGTCATGTCCGATCCCTTTGCTTGTGGTCTGATCAATCCTCCTAAACATATGCTTTTAGCTTTCAAGTCTATGACCTCAATCCAGGGGTCTCCCTGAAGTGTCTATTTGAGGCAAAGCAATAAACCAGAGCACAATAAAACCTAGTTGGGTTTTTATAGTTTGTTATTTTATGACTATCTGTTTTTTCCTGCATGTACATCTATGCACCATACATATATGCCTGGTTCCTGTAGGAGGCAGAGGAGGGCATCAGATTCCCTGGAACTGAATTACAGGTAGTTGTGAGCTGTCATGTGGGTGCTGGGAATTGAACCCAGGGTCTCTGGAAGAGCAACTAGCACTCTTAACTACTGAACCATCTCTCCAACTACCCCACTCCCACTGCATAAACACAGTTATGATGCACACTGAAGCTTCACAACTGGCTTGTATAAAGTCCCAATTCCTTGATCTTAGCAAAACCATCAGGCTGTATGGATGTGGTGAACATTGTTCATGCTTAGGAATCTTCTTGTTCAACTGAATGACTCTTTGTTGTCTTCTATGGTTAAACCAACTTCCTTAAACAGAGCCTGAGGGCTAGTGAAGATTGAGCATCTAGCTCTAATTGACATTTGCCAGACAAGATGCCAAGGGAGATTTTATATCCCATGTGCATCTGATTTCTCCCCATGAGAGTTTACTGTTACAGGAAGTCAGCAAAACACAGTAGCAAAGGCCACCACCCTTGAGCGCAAACCCATCTCTATAAAATCTGTCTTCCAATGTCATCTTTTAACTTCTGCCTCGTCAGTCATGTGAATTCTTCTGGAACTGACTTGATAACACACTTCCTGGAATAACTGTGCTGGTAATCTTTATTTATATCATATCATCATGTTATTCTTACTGAAGTCCCAGAAGTTTATATTTCCATACAGTTTCTGAGGGCTGAGGGCATAGCTCAGTGGTACAGTGCCTTCCTAACACATGCAAGACTTTGGGCTCAATCCCAGTCAGGAAAAAAAAAAGTTAATAATATATTCAGAATCTAATATATTCCTGGAATTTTTTTCTCCAAAGCCAAAGCAAGACACAATTAATAGGCCAGTTGGAGGACATAGTGAATACTTGTTTCATATTGGGGAGTGGGGGTGAGGCTCACCAGGGACATTAGACAGGACGGTGTCCAGAGGCTGCCAGTGACAGCTCATGAGGGAGTTGTACAGTTCTTCACTTTCTGACATGAACTTCTTGTTTGATTCTTCAATATTCAAATGAAGGTTTGGGTCTGCAGAAGCCATTACAGACAGGAGAAAGACAGTTTCACACAGGGCTCTGCAGGAACCTAGACAGTTGGAGGAGATGGAAGGAAACAGAAATCCAAAGGTGTTTGGAAGAATTCCTTTTAGGAAAAAGGGAAAGCCAAGGATGAGACTGGAGCTTCTGGCCTGAGAACTCAGGAGGATGCTTTGTAAACAGCATCTCTGCTTACTAAACAGACCTATGTAAATGAACAAGATTCATGTATCAAGTAATTCCAAAGCAGAGAACCTGGCCTCCACTTCGAAAGCCTGGAACCCATGATAAGAGGTTACACCATGACCATATATAACTATATCTGTGCTTTCCATCCAAGGTGTCAGGCTTCCCGAGGTTCCCCAAAACACCAAGTTCACTTTTTTTTTAAACTAACACATTTTCTTCCTCCTTGCATTGAATGTAACAGAAGAAGCTCTTTGTAATTTTTGCAAGTCTAAATGCATCTAGCACCATCATTTGCCTCCCATGGGTTCATATTCCGTGGCAAGGATGTCAGGGACTGAACGTTGTGCCCCTCCCCAAGTTTCATATACTAAGTCTCAGCACTCATTTTGAGAGTCTTTGGAGCTGGGGCCTTGGGGGGCGGATGATCGATGTTGGAGGGATCATAGGGTAGGATCCCGGTCTGAGAGGATTAGTGATCTTAAGTGAGAAGGCAGCAGAGCTTACTTCTTCAGATTTAGTATCAACACCAAGAAGAGATCTTGTGAGGGCATTCAGAGGAGTACATCTACATGCCAGGGAGAGAACTCCTGCCAGAACCTCCTGGGCCTGGGTCTTCCAGCCCCTGGAGCTGAGTGGCCAGGGCCTGGGAAACTGGGGGAGGAGCTTCTGTTGCGTCAACCGCCCTGTCTGAGGCACTTTGTTACAGTAGTTCTAGCAGACTCATACAGTCCCCTTTTGCATTAATTACTTTGAAATCACCTGCATCAGCCATTGGTGGTGTGTTGTCTGAACCTTAGTCTTTTGAGCCATATTTCTTTTGAGAAACCTGAGCTTGGGACTTCCAGCCACTAGAGCTATGTGGCCAGGGCTGGGAAATTCCAGTCTGGGTCAGGTAGCAAATGCCTTTAATCCCAGCACTCAGGAGGGAGAGGCAGAGGGAAATCTCTGTAGTTTGTAGTTTCTGGTCTACAGAGTGAGTAAGTTCCAGGTCAACCAGGACAACAGAAAATGATCCTGTCTAAGACTCTATCTTTCTACCTTTTCTCCTGAACTTTCTGAATTTTTTTTTTCTTAAATTCAGTTCCAGGTGTCTTTCCTGAGCAGTTAAGCACAGTTGGGGGGGGGGGGGGGGGGTTGTGTTGTTTACATGTTGTGGTTGGAGGAGAGGTATTGGGTTGACACAACACCCATAGGTGTGAGCACGCCCTCTCTCTCCTGTAACCTGTGGTCGGGAGTGTGATGAGTAAGCCTATTAAATGCAAAGGCAGGGAGATTCACAGGAGCCAAGGTAGACAGCTGTATCGGTGCACACTGGGAATGTCATGTGGAAAACAGTGCATGCCCAAGTTCCCAGTCTCTTCAGTTTTCTCCTTAGTTTCCCTACTAGAAATTTAAACTCATCTTCTTGGGCAGCTGGTGTTTCGTGCTGAGTTCTAGTCAGCTGTGCTTCTCCGGGTCTATGACCCGGCTGTCCATTCTTGTGGTGATTGTATGCCAGGTGCTGTAAGGACACACAGGAGCTCTTTGGATGTCACATTCACATAGCCTCTGAGCTAGAGAGGACAATCCACTTTACAGAAAGGAAACCAACTAGACATTAATCTGTCTGGGGTAGTAGAGCTAGTAGGCAGGATTGGAACCCTGACAGTCTGTATTGGGAAAGTAGATCTTTGGGGGTGTTGTTTTTATTTTTGGAGACAGTGTTTTTGTGTAGGCCAGGCTGGCCTCAGACACATCACTTTTCTGCCTCACAAGTGTTGGGATTGATGATACACACCACACCTAGCTTACTGCCATGTCCTCATTGTGTGTTGCATAGCTCACGAAGGCAAGAAGAGCAGGCTCACATTTTAACCCAAAATAAATCCCCTGAGAGCTGAAATAAGCACCATTTGTTCCTACGTAAATCTAAAGACTGACATCTAGAACAACTGACTGATACAAATATTTCATGTCTCTTAAGGGAAAACAAGAAGCATGCAAACTCCATGATGGCCTCCTGAGCACAAAAGCACAATCACCTGCTCCCTTCTTTAGGATAACAAAGGATGGGTCTGCCCAGCCAGGGCTCAGTAGGACTTGGTGCCTATCTCTCCTGTGAACACCAATAAGCAATGGTGCCCTTCTTTTCTCCATCTCTCCTGTGAACACCAATAAGCAATGGTGCCCTTCTTTTCTCCATCTCTCCTGTGAACACCAATAAGCAATGGTGCCCTTCTTTTCTCCATCTCTCCTGTGAACACCAATAAGCAATGGTGCCCTTCTTTTCTCCATCTCTCCTGTGAACACCAATAAGCAATGGTGCCCTTCTTTTCTCCATCTCTCCTGTGAACACCAATAAGCAATGGTGCCCTTCTTTTCTCCATCTCTCCCTTTCTCTTTTCTGTGACAAAGTATTTCCTCCCCTTCCTCAAATATGACCCATTCAAAAACTTTCTGTGGGCCCAAGTCTGTTCTTTTCAGAACAAATGAAAACTTGAGAAAATACCTCCAGCCTGTCACTCCAGAGCCACCTCTTGGGTCCCCAGTAATCAGTCAATGGCCTAGAGGGAAACCAGGAAGCCATAGCCACAGAAACTACCTCCTGCTTTTTCTCTTTAAAAAATAAAATGTGGGTGTGGGAAAGGTCCTGTGTTCCATCTCAGCCCTCACAGACAAAACTGAAGCATAATTAATCCTTAATCCATTTGCACTGACATTCATGTAATAGGTGCAATGTATTTGCCCTAAGTCCTAGAAGCCCAAGATTAAGGGGTGTGTTGACCCCTTATAGATGATAAAAGCTAGAGAACACAAAAGGACAGAGAGGAACCAGTCTTCACTGGAAATAAAGCGTGCTCTCTCTCTCTCTGTCTCTCTGTCTCTCTCTGTCTCTCTGTCTCTCTGTCTCTCTGTCTCTCTCTCTCTGTCTCTCTCTCTCTGTCTCTCTCTCTCTCTCTCTCTCTCTCTCTCTCTCTCTCTCTCTCTCTCTCTCTCCCTCCAAATCCTGCCTGCTCAGAGAGTCTCCAAACAAAGGAAAGGCACCAAAAAGCCCAGTCCCACATTCTTGGTGACTATTCAACTTCTTCCCTTGATGCTGCCCCAGTGGCCCCTGTCCCCTCCTAAGCACTCAGCTTTTGACCATACTTGGCACAAACCCAGCTTGTGATGGACAGGTCATCACCCCTGGCCTACAATCTATAAAACTTTCCTGCCCTGGCCTGGGCACTCAACTTCTCTGGCCTCGATCTCTAGGACCAGAGAACCTGCCCAGGAGTCGCTTTGCTCAATAAACCTGTTGTTACACCTTTTCAGTTCTACTTGATCTGGCTTAGTGCATCAGCAGAGAAACTCATTTTTGGGTGGGGATGGGGGTAGGGGAGTGCACAGAAAACCTATTAGACCCCATAGAAACAGTCTCCCCAGACATGACAATTCTCCAAGGAGAATTTTTAAGCAAATCTACAGTGGAATTTTCCCATCAGATTTCTCAGTTTCCAGCAACTTGAGAGACTGAGGTACCTAGGAATTGTTCTTTTTCTTTTTTCTCAACCACTGCAGCTCAGGGTTCATATTACCTCCTAGAAGTTCTTCACCTTGGTTTCCAGATGGGGTTGAGGTTTCCTACAAAGAAAATGAGTATCTTAAGAGAAAAGATGCAAAGATTTAACATCATACATGCCTTCTTGGGATAGAAAATCTAGCTCCAAAAAACATGAAACCACTAAACCTCCCCAAATCATGAGGTAGGTGAGCTGGACTGCAGAAAAAATGTTAGGCAGGCCATGAGGCTGACAACGGCTTCTGGGAACTGTTAGAATCCCAGGGCCCAGGAACTACACAGCAGAGGCTCCCGGCATTAGGCTCTTTGTGTTGTCTTGCTTAACACAGGATTTCATTGCGTAACCCAGGCTAGCCTCTAACTCTTAATCCTCTTGCTTCATCCTTCCTAGTGTTTACCACCATGCCGGACAGACTTCCTATTTCTGTATCAGGTGGCCTGTTCTCCACCTTTACACGGGCCTCTCTCTCCCAGAAGTCAATTTGCAATATCTCCAGGAACACAATCTCCTTGTGCAGACCCAAAACTCCCCTCCACCCCCACCCAACAACCTAGGGCTAAGCACAAAACCAGCCCGTTAGGTACCTACAGAGTCACAGAGGATGCAGAGCAGTGAAGCAATGAACCACATTTTTACCAAATGAAGAGAGTAACTTCCAGAAGCACCTCAAGCATAAATTTTGGTTGATTAATCCAGACTGTGTTGGCTCTGGGGTGGCACACATGTAAATGTCCCCTTTACACACACCTGCTCAACACTTTCGTGTGTGTGTGTGTGTGTGTGCGTGTGTGTGTGTGTGCGCGCGCGCATGTGCACATGCATGTATGTGGAGGCTAGAAGCTGACATTGGGTGTCTTCTTTGATCACTGAACTTCATTTTTTTAAAACGTGTTTAGATTTATTTTGTGTGTATGAATGTTTTACCTGCATGTATGTCTGTGTACCATGTGCACGCCTGTTGTCCATGGAGAGGAGAAGATCCCCCGGAACTGGAGTTAGAGATGGTTGTGGGCCACTATGTGGGTGCTGAGAACTGCACCCACGCCTTCTGCGAGCGCAAGTACTCTAAACTCCTCAGATGTCTCTCCATCCCCTCTCCCCGCCTTATTTTGAGAGATGAAGTCTCTTACTGAATCTGGAACTCCTTGGTTTGGCTGGAAGGACAAGCCAGCAAGCCCCAGGGAGCCTCCTGTCTCTGTCTCCAGAGACGCTGGAATCCCAGATGTGCGTCACCATGCCTGGCTTTTTATGTGGTGCTGGGCATCTGGGCTTGTGTTCTTGCTTGCCTGCCCTGTGCTTTATTCAGGGTCGGGGGCCATCCCAGCTTTAGACACCGTAGCAGAAATCTAACAGAATCCTTGTATCTAGGGCAACCACGAGAATGAAATAGCTGTTTTTCACTGTATCTAGGGTAACCATGAGAATGAAGTAGCTGGTTCCTATAAGTACTTAGACCTGGAAGAAATCATTGTGGAAAACAGTGATTGTCTTCTGTCATCTAGAGAGCTGTTTTTCTGCAGGAGCTTTACAGCCTTTGTATGACCTTGGTCACAAGGCGGTCCTGGCGCACCTGGATCGTCCCTGACCAGGAGTCGCCAGTAGTCCTTAAAGGAAAGGTTTCGACCCCCAGCATCCACACGGCAGCTCACAACACCTTCTGTAACTCCAGGCCCGGAGGATCTTGCACCCTCCTCTGACCTCCATGGGTACCTGGCACACACATGACGAACAGACATACATGCAGGAAAAATACTCAGACACATAAAATAAAAAATAAGCCTAAAAAAACAGAAATAGCTGAGTGTGATAGCTCACATCTTTAATCTAATAATAATAATAATAATAACAATAATAATAATAATAAATAACAATAAAAATTAACTGTTAGAACAGAGGGAAGGGTTAATAAGGTGGAGAAAGAATCTGTTAATTATTTTAGTGCTCTCATGAGTAGAGAGAAAAAGTATTTTCTGAGGTTGATTAACATGAATACCTACATTTGTCTCCTTAAAGATATACAGGCGATCCCCAAACAGAGGGTAAAAGAACAAAATGTGAATTCAAACCTCAGACAACAACTTTCTTTTAAAGATTTATTTATTTTATGTATATGAGTGCTCTATATGCATGTACATCTTTATTCCAGAAGAGGGCATCAGATCCCACTATAGATGTTTGTGAGCTACCATGTGGTTGCCGGGATTGGACCCAAGACCTCTGGAAGAGCAGCCTGTGCTCCTAACCTAAGGCAGTTGTATACCCTGGACAATTAATAGATCCATGCTGTCCTTGCCTGTTTGATTGGTTTCTCACACAGACAAGAACCCAAGAGCCATTTCTCAAGCCCCAGAGGGCGAACTTTTTAAAAAACATACAGAGCATCTGTTAAAAGGATGCCCCCCTCCGGGGTGGGGGAGAGAAAACAAGTTATCTTATATAAAAGGCACACCTGAAAGACTTTAACAGTTGAAGGTGAAAACATTTGTCAGAAAATTGAATTATCAAAATGAAATATACATAAACAAAATATTATTTTTTAAAAAAGTTTTAGAAACCAGAGGCCAAGGTATTAAGTTCAACATTGGTGTTAAGAAGAGGCCTTCATCACTGTGCACGTCAGGACACAATTCAAGTGACAGCCATCGCCTTTCAATGGCAAAGCTTACTTTCCTCTGCCTGATCACTTATGTGGTTAAGCAGAGGACACCACCCAAAAAAGAGAAAATTGACAGGACAGCATGGGACACGGCACAACGAACATTTATTTATTTATTTATTTATTTATTTATTTACTCACTTATTTGAGACAATAGTCCCCTGTGTAGCCCATGCTGGCCCCAACTCCTGTTCCTCTGGCCTTAGCCTCCCAAAGTGCTGGGATTACAAGTGTGCACCATCACTTCTGGTTCCCAGTGAACATTTCAGCAGTTGTATACCCTGGACAATTAATAGATCCATGCTGTCCTTGCCTATTTGATTGGTTTCTCACACAGACAAGAACCCAAAGAAGCCAGCACTCCCCCCACAGACAGTAATGAAGTGTAAACTCAAGGGTTTTGGTGAGCATTCTGTTGCTTAACATTATTATTATTTTATATTTTTGAGATTATGATATAATTATATCATTTCCCCCTTCCCTTTTCTCCCTCCAAATCCTACCATATACTCTTCCTTGCTCTCTTTCAAATCAAGGCCCTTTTCATTAATTGTTGTTACAATTACATGCATGTTACATATCATATGATCATATGCACACACATACACACACACATACACACACACACATACACACACACACATACACACACACACACACACACACACACACACACACACACACACACACACACATCCTATTGCTGAAGATATACTTCAGACACAGGGCCCAGAGGCCCCTGAGCTAGAACTGCCCTGAATGTGTTCTCTCTCAGCACATGCTTTCAGGGTACCAGCAGATAACACACACACAAGCTTCCAAAGGAGGGAAGCAACCAACGTCCTACCCAGTTTGGGTGGGTATGAACCACAACAATGACCAGCTTGGCACAATGACTCTAAGGGGGCAGTAGTGGTACGCACACCTTGGTGGTACCAACAGCTCTCTTACTGGACTTAAGACCCACTCAACAAGAGGGAAACCACGCCTGGTACTGGAAACCTAGCCAACTACCCAGGGCTAGTGAAGGCATGGATCTTGGGAGAGAACCTTCAACCACCACTTTACTAAAACAGCGTCATCCCTAACTACATTTTAAATGTTGCTTAACATTTTAATTCAGCCCCTCCACTCCCGGAAATGTACTCTCAAGAACAAAACAAACAAACAAACAAAAAAACAAAAACAAACAGCTGGGCGGTGGTGATGCATGCCTTTAATCCCAGCATTCAGGAGGCAGAGACAGGAGTTCGAGGCCAGCCTAACTACAGAGCTAGTTTCAGGACTGTCAAGGCTACACAGAGAAACCCTGTCTCAAAACAAAACAAACAAACAAATACCACAAAAAAATCCAGGCAAACACCTGAAGAAAAGTAAAAGCTGTTCAGATACCAAAAATACTTTGAATATTAGGAGAAGATGGAATAAAACTCATAACTTCTCTAAACAGGGTTAACTGAGCTGTTTGAGACAGAATCTCCCTCAGGAGCCCTAGCTGGCCTTAAACTCAGAGAATCTACTGCCTCTGTATCCCAAGGTTTTAGGGATATTGGTTTTGCTTGTTTGATTAGTTTGGCTTAGGCACTGGGCTTTGTGATGCTTGGTATCAGCTCTACCACTGAGCTACAACCCCCAGGTCCTCGAGGGGCAAGTTTTAAAGAAGGTTCTCTTTAAAGAAGCTGGAAGTACAAGCGAGTTGTTTTTTTTTTTTTTTTTTTTTTTGGTTGTTGTTGTTTTTTTAAATGAAACCCCATCCCCATCCTCAGCAGAAAGAAAGCTCAACCAACTCTGCTAGCAGGCGTTTGGAAGAAAGATGTAGACGACAAATCATTCCAAGGATACTTTCCTCCAAGCTGAGAGGGAATGAGAAGAGAGGTGCAGGTACATCTTCAGGGGACTTAGAAACACATCACTGATCGGTGTTAAAACATCTTTCTAAATGGTCTTCATGTCTCCTTCAGCTAATCAAAGTTCTTTCCAGTCCCAGTTTAAGGGGCAGCGAAATCTACTTCCATGGTCATCTAAAATTTAGTAGCAAGCAATTTTAGGTCAAGATTTAATCAGTCTATTATTTCACTTTCTAGAGGAGTCAGAAAGAATTTAAATCATTTTGTCTAAAAAGAAAAAAAGAAAAGAAAGAGAGAAAATAGGAGTGGAGAGGGAAAAGGTAAGGAAATGATGGTTACATTATCAGGCACATAGATGACTAAGAGTTATTTCAACAAGGGTTACCTCTGGAACAGCCCAAGGTCCAGCTAGGGGTTCAGGCTTCTCATACACAGGCAGAGGGCTGGGCCCATTTCCATTCACTGTGGAGTCATCGCTGTGGCAGGAACAATGGTAAAAGCTGTGCGGCTGTTCACTACTGTTGCCACAGTGGCAACCTAGGCTGTCATGGGACCCCAGCTGGTCCCTAAGGACAGATGGAAGAGGACATGGAGTGACAGTCATCACCCACAGTGGCAGCACCACACATTCACTCTTCCAGAAGTTTCAAGTCAGGATGGTTCTGCTTCAACCATTAAAAATGAAATTGCCTATGTTCCAAGGAACAGGCTGGCGCTTGGCAAAGAACTTGCATTAAATAACACTGGGGCTTTCATTCGAAGTATAAAATAAATAAAACCTCACTCACCTTTGCCAGATGAAGTAATAGTTATTTTATTGAGCCATGCCAAAGCCTACAATATCCTCCCATCTGGCCATTTCTCCAGACACTGAAGAAAACAACTTGACCACTTTTATTTCTGGGTCTGAAATTACATCAGCTGGATCAACCCTTACAAACACCTCTTATAAGCAGCCATGAAACAGGGCAATTACATTTAGTGGCAATTCCTGCTAGGCAGTTGTTTCCTGACAGAGGCAAAGGCGTGGGAGGAGGCAGGGGCGCATCTGCAAACACCTGGGGAAATGTGTGCAAACATCTCTGGCTTCCAGCTGCCAGTACCTCCTAGAATTGCTGGGACTGGCAAAGCCTGCAGAATTCTCTGTGTATTTGTGTTTTGAACCTTGAAGAAGCCAGACGTCTACATTGCCTGCTCCTCACAACCCCTTAGTAGATAGGGTTGTCACTTTCAATATTGACAATCTAAACAAATACCACAATCTGACCGGCTCTCCCCTCAGCGATATGCTAAGAATAACTCATGGAGTCAACACCTCATGGCTTTCTCTTTAGATACCTAAGTAAAGAAACCATTATTTCAACCAGCTGCAGAATTATCAAGAGCGAGCTGAGTATCACATACACTTTACACTAATGCAGGTCCAAGCAAAGAAGACAGGGTCTCTCTGTGTAACAGCCCTGGCTGTCCTGGATCTCACTCTGTAGACCAGGCTGGCCTCAAACTCACAGAGATCTGCCTGTCTCTGACTCCTGAGTGCTGGGACTAAAGGTGTGCAACACCATGCCTGGCTAGATTTTAAATTTTTAAGACAGGATCTTTGTATAGGAGGCTGGTCTCAAACTCAAGAGCTTCTGCCTCAGTGGCCTGAGTGCTGGGGTTACAGCTGTATCCATATTTTTTCTTTTAGAATGAAAAGCATGATACAGCAAGCACTATGCAAGCTTTAATGTGCATAGGAACCCTCTAATGTTTTCTTAGTGATTAAAACTATTTATTTTAGTGTATATGAGTGAGCCTGTATGTTTTTATGCTCCATGTGCATACAGGAGCCAGTGGAGTCAAGAAGAGCACAATGGACCCTGGAACTGGAGTTACAAGTGGTTGTGAACTATCTATCATGTTGGGGCTAAGACAGCAAACCTGGGTCCTCCACAAGAACAGCAAGTGCTCTCAACCACTGAGCCATCTCTTCAGTCCCCTCTTAGTGATTTTCTAAGGATGTCCTCACAATTTCTCATTTGCCAAGGCAGTATTAATTATCGCACCCAGTCTCATCTGCCAAGGCAGTATTAATTATTGCACCCAGTCTCATTTGCCAAGGCAGTATTGATTATTGCACCCAATCTCTACAGATGCAGTGGTCTCTATGCCACTGGCATGGCCCTGAATAAAGGTCACATTACCCCACTCTGGTAAGTATCAGAGAATAACCTTTGCTCTAACCTTATGAAGGCTGGGTCTGGGTGTCTGTTGACTGTGGACGCCTTCTACCAGCGCTGAACTGGCCTGCTCCCAGGGTCACTTGACTAAACAGATGTCTGTGTAAGCTACTGGTGCCTCAGTCTTAGTCTCAGGCTAACAGGCTGCTCAGTCTTCTCTCAGAGATCAGGCCTCAATTTCAGTTTCCTGAGACTTGAGCAAGCAGTTTCTGGGAGGGCCGTGAACAAAAGACATAGTCCTTGCAGTAGCTCCCATTCTGCACGTACTCTGACTGCTCAAAGTTCAGTCAATTGTTTATTGTCTGGGACCCCTCACCAACTTAGAGCTATGTGCATGGGTCAATGTGGACGTGCTAGGCAAGCCAGCCTCCATGGCAGCTCCAGGACAGAGCCTGGGACTTGTCCGGGCCTGCCCCAAAATGATAACTGTAACCCCCAATTAACCCTAGCCAATTAAAAGTCACTAACATGATTGCCACTAGCATAAACCAATCTTGAATCTGTTCCTATGTGGTCTGTAGACTCCAAGCCCCCCTTGCTTCAAAAACCCTGCCCCATTGCTACTCAGGGTCTCTCCTGCTCTGCTGCTGCATCAGACGGACAGAGTCCCAAGTTAACTTGTAGTAAAGACTCTTTGACTTTGCATCAGATTCAGTCTCTTGGTGGTCTTGGGGGGACTCTGGGAATAACACTTGTAGGTGAAAATGACAAGGGTGGGTTCAAAAGTAATGCTTTGTGATTTTCCCAAATGCAAAACAAGCCTAGTTCAGCTGGATTGAGCACACAAAGCAAGCTGTCCGTGCCTGTTAGTGCCCAGGGAAGTTGACCGAAATCTTGGCTTGCTTTAGAACAGAAATGCAAAGGTACTAAACACCTCTGCAAATACAGCTATCCACAACCCCAAAGTCCTAGAATCTAACAGCGTCGCCACTTTCCACGTGGAAGAAGGATGGTGAATGAGTGGGAATATTACACCCTTGGGATTTTTCTGAACGGGGCTAATTTTCCTCCACTTTATCTTACTTAAGTAACCACTGCTATTCAAAAAAGAATAGCTGCTGTTCAAAAAGGAATACAGCCAAGAACTGTACTATAGTTTTTTTTTGTTTTGTTTTTTTGGTTTTTTTTTGGCAAATCAAACAAAGCCAGGTCCTTAATAGATATTTACCTGATGGATGAATGAATGAAGACATGGCTCCATGGCTCAAGTGTAAAAAGCTTTGCAATCAATAACTTTAAAGCACAATAAAAATCCTGTTAGTGTGTTATTGATTGCTCAACAGTTGTTTTGGTCCTTGGCAACTTCAGTTTCATACCGAGATTAAGTGGCCTTTTACAGCCTGTTTTGAGAGAACAGGAAGTCTTAGAAGTATGTCCCGTTTGAATCTAGTTGGACAGGTATATAGCTTCACAATAAGTCCTGCAACCTGAGCTAGTTAAGACGCTGCTGATCTGGCTGGGAGTGAAAGGAAAGGCTGCAGCTTTGTTCTTTGTGAACCAGAAAGTTGGAGGTCACAGGAGCAGTAATGGGCTGCCACTTAGCTGTGTGGCCTTGGAAACATCACTTTCCTGGGTGTGTTTCAGCATTTTTAACCTAATACCAAGTTAGGATATTTTACTCTGGGCTTCACCGTTTTTCTAGTTTTAACTCTATCACGGAGTTTTCATTTTTTGATGACATGTAAGTACAGAAAAATAGATCTAAAAGTGTAAAATCCGATTTTACTTCATTGAAACAGTAATCCCCTTAATTAAAAAGGTTAATTAAATTTTATTTATTATAAATGTTCTCCAAAAATTTAGATCTACAGATTTTCACATATTTTTAAGGAATGAAATACCCTTGACATTTATCAATGTGCCCTCATCCACCTATTACTTAACTTTTGGCTGACATACAAAGTCTTCTGAGCTCTGTGATTAGCTTGACTACTTTCTAAGGTAGTTTTGTTTTCTTTTGTAAAATCACTATAATACCTACACTTAATGATTTACATTCTAGAGCCAACCATATGCTATGATTCCTGGTTGGAGCAGAAGACTTTGTCAAGTCACAAAGCTCTCCTCTAAAACCTATCAAATGTAAGCAAGCAAAGTGTGATTGATGGTCTGGTACTACCAGATTCCAGGACAGGATGACATTTGTAGGAGCTGTAAGAGCTATGCATTTGGACTCGGTGCCCACACTAAGCCCAGCAGGTCAAAGCAGTGTAGATTTCACTCACAGTAATCCAGCCTCAGTTGCTTACTAGATGCCTTGTAGCCAATTAAATGACACTATTGTTATTTAAAGGACTAAGCTGTAGCTAATTACACCACTCTTCCATTTTTCTGTAAAGACCATTTGATTACAGTATTCTGGAGTTCCCAGAACCTGCTCTGTTTTTGGAAGCAGCTCAATTTGCAAATCATGGTGTTTAATATTTTTGTTTTAATTTTGTTGTTGTTGTTGTTGTTTTGTGGTGGTGGTGATGGTGGTGGTGGTGCTGGTGGTGTGTGTGTGTGTGTGTGTGTGTGTGTGTGTGTGTGTGTGTGTGTGTGTTGGAGGTACTGAGACAGACTCTCCTATCAAAGCCGGTTTTGAACTCCTGACTCTCCTGTTTCCACCTCCCAAATGCTGAGATACCAGGTGTTTCTGTTTTGTGGAAGGGAGTGATGGCTAAGACCAGATCTCCTGGAGCCTGGGCTGGCCTGGAACCGTGTTCCTTCCACCTCTGCCTCCTTCATACTGGGCGACAAATCATGGTTTGCTTTGTTCACATAAACTGCTTCACTTCACTGATCTCAATAATTGCTGATTTTTATTAAAACTTTGATATAAAGAACTTGCAAATAAAAAACAAGCAGTCAAATTTACCAGGTCCAAAGTCTATATACCTCAATGGAACTTCATATTGGATTTTACAGTTTTAAACACATTTTTATGCACTTACACGCCACAAAAAGTGAAAAAAAAATTCATGAGAGAGTTAAAACTAGAATAAACCCACACCTCTAATCCCAGCACTCAGGAGGCAAATGTAGGTGGATCTCTGTGAGTTAGAGGCCAGATTGGTCTATCAAGCCAGTTGCAGGACAGCCAATGCTACCAAAGAAACCCTGTCTCAAGAAGCCAAAACCAAAACAACAACAAAACCAAAAAATCCCAACTAGAAAAACAATTAGTTTCATATCCTCTTTTATGACTCAAATGTCCATTCTCCATTATCTGCATTTAGTCTTTCCTCATCACCTGCTATTCATCCTTTCTTGTTTTCCTTTCTACAGGCTATACTATATCTTCATGTACATTTGTTTATATGATACATACATTCTTATGTGCTATGATCCACATGAGGAAGAACACAGTTTTTTTTCCTAAGATTGTGTGACTTTGCTTAATATTCTAAATCCATTTTCCCTCAAATTTTAATTTATCTTTTTT